GATAGCAGAGGTTGGATGCACACTTCAGCTCCCTGAAATGCAGTGTCCTTTAAACACAGCAATGAGCAAAGTGGATCTCCACTCTCCATCTCCTCTCCTGGCACCCCTACCAGACTGGGTCATCTCCATGGTGATTACAAAATGGTTTGTGATGGTTCTGGCTCATGTGCCTCATGCTGCTGAATAAAACAGGACATGGGACATGAAACATGAACTCCTGTTTTTACTGGCTTCAGAGAATTTGAAAAATCCCTTGCTCTCAATTATACACTTACTTACCTGATGTTTTAGAGATTTTAATTCTTGGGCCATATGGTTTCTTGAGAGCAGGTCCTGGAAAGGACAGAGGGAAGAATAGTTGTTATTTGTTAAAGATGTGTGGAGAGACACAGAGAGAGCAGCAGGGGGAGACAAGAAGCCTGCAATGGGCTTCAGATATCTTCGTAATAACTGTAAGAATCAAAAAGCCAACGATCATGAATTTCAGGCAAGCCTGGATGGTGGAGGGAAAAACCCCAACTCCCTCAGGGTGCCCTCTGACCTCTACTTGTGTTCCGTGCACCCCCCCACCCACCCACCCAGGAGCACACACATGCAATAAATAAATCAAATGTAATAACATTTTAAATAAATAAATCAGAATGAAGTATCACTAACTTTGCCAGCAGAAACTCCACCTGAGATGGGAAGAGGCTTGCACTTAAGGGCCTGAAATCCTCAATACATTTCCATGACTACACACCCCATGGGAGACAGAGACAGCTAACAGTCACAGAACACTCTGTTACATGCCACAGGACATTGGCTGAATGGTTAGTCCTGGCCATGGACCTGCTTGGAACTTATTATTATCCCCACTTATAAGCAAGCAACTGTGCTCTCGGGGAGGCCCATAAGTGTGTCCCAGACTCCCCAGCTGCTCGGGAGGGTCCATAGATCAAAACTTCGTGTTCTCTCTGCCACTGCACGTGCTTGTCAGAGTTTAATGTGAGAAATAAATTAGCCAGAATTTGTGGGGTTCTGGGAAGGCCTAGTTCACTTCGGTCTCCTCTCTAGGAGATGGAAATTTGACAAGAACAATAAAAATCTACACAGAAAAAACAAGGCCACTTTCCACATGTTGGTGGTAGGGATGATGCGGCCCTGTGCTTTGGTTTAAACTCCCGTCACTAAGGACTGTCAACTGGCATCAAAGTGGCTGGTGTATAAACCAGAAATTTTCAGGGGTCCACATGTTGGTACGTATATATTGTTTCTATTTTGTTCAGACAGGATCTTACTACATAGCCCAAGCTGAGCAAGAACTCACTGTCCTCCTGTCTCAGCCAGATGTGCTGACTTCAGCAGGCAACATTTCTCAGCCTCCTGCCATTCTTTACATGGTTCTGTGAGCTGCAGTTTATAACGAGTATAGCTATTTGAGAGGGCATCTGGTGACCATGCACATCACGTAAGGTCACTGTTTATAATAACTGCAGCCCGAGAAAAGAAACAGACTTCTGCTGAGGTTCCCTTGGCCTTACAAGGAATTCCCACTCACACGCAGGCCACCCCAAGGCTGTGCTACCTGGCTGCACCGAGTCGGCTCCTCGCAGGCTCTGCACCACTGTCTCAGGTCCTGTGGCTGCTGACATGCCGCGGGTGTCCTCCAGCCTGTCTGGGTGGGGCCCTGGCTTCTTCAGCTTCATGGACGTGAAGGGGGTGAGGAAGTGGTAGTTCAAGGCTAAAGCCTGGGCCTTCTGCCTCAGCTGCTCCTTCTCTTGCTCACTGCTGCTCTGCACCCAGGAGCTCAGCAGTTCCTTCACAGTGAGGTAGCTCCAAAGACGCTCAATGTGGTTGGGGTCCTCCTCACCATCGCTGGCAGGCCCAGGGGTGACCGTGACATCATTTCCCAGCTTCTGGGACTCCACGGGGATGTCTTTTTTCAGGATGACAAATTTCTTACTGTTGCTGGCCGTGACCTCCACGTGAAACTGATCAAACTTCCTGTCTACCATCTTCCCGGCAATGACGATCTCAGAGCCATTGAAGTAGTTGGGAAACAGAGTTTTGGTGGCGTGCTCTACTACGTCAGGAGGATAATCTATGCGGATATCAGAGAGAAGCGGGGTCCGGATTTCATCATAGAACCTGGGGAGGAAGGACAGAGAGAATCAGAGTCTGGCTGGGCTACAGGCAGTCAGTCCGGAAGGAAATCAGACTCTCAGAGGGTGTGGGTCGGACTCTGCGCATGCTCGCCTCCTGCACTACACTTAAGCGCAGTATTTTGATAGCAGTAACTTGGGTGAGCTCTCGTCATTTCACAAAGCTTCCAGGTCTACAGAGGAAGGGGACAGCAGCCTCTTGGGAATGAATCAAAATCTCCCACTGCCTAAATCAACCCTTAGTTCCTTGAAATAGTCTTTCTGTGATACAACTTCCAAATTCCTCAGAACACTCGATAAATTCCCTTCCTACACACTTGAGTTTCTCCAAGGTCTACTTAGAATTTGTTTCTTAAAATTGAATACATGTTATTGTAGCTGGAAGTTTCTCCAGTCCTGCTCTGCCCCGAGGTCGAGACGAATCTCTCCCACCAGTGTCCCATAGCCACTTGGTCCCAGTGCTTTGATTGCATATCTTAGTGACTTTCAGTCAAGCATACGATTCATAAATTTCTTTGATTGTGGCTACCAAAATCTAGATAAAGCAGAATTTTCATTTGAAATAGATCCTATATTTGCACAATGCAGATTGAGTTTCATTGTGTTGAATCTGGAGACAGCATTCGATTCAATCAACAACAAAACCATACACCATGATCAGCAACATGATATCTGAGACATGGTAATTCTGTCTTAGAAAACCTAAGTTCTAGATTTTTCTGCCAGTCTTTTTCCCACAAAAAAAAAATGTTTTGAGTTTTCATCAGTTTTAATTGATCATTTTGCTTCAAATTATAATACTATCATTTCACCATTTATTCAAACTATCAGGATGTCAACTATAACCCTACATGATCACTAATGTGCAATATTCACTGTGCCAAAACTTTACTTAAGTTTTCCTATCAAACTACCATCAATTATAAGCCTCATTTTGCAGAAGGGGAAACTGAGGCATGGGCAGTAGTAAAGCCTACCTAAAGTCACATATTAAACTCAAATCTGACTGGTTTCTAAGCACATTATGAGGCAGACATGGTAGTACACGCAGGTAATCCCCAGCCACTATAGGGGCTGAGACAGGAGGATCACAAGTTCAAGGCCATCTGAAGAATTTAGCAAGACCAACATCTCAAATTAAAATAACAGAAGGGCCGATGGATGAATCGTTTACTTAGCACACACAAGACCCAAGGTTCAAAGACCAGTGCTACAAAATAAATAATTTTTAAAAATAAGAATAAAACACACTAATATTCCTCAATGCCATGAGCTGTCTTCATTTTCAGCAGATGTGAGGATAAGGCCCAGCCAAAGCTATCCTAGGTTCTGGATTATCCTGCATCTACCCTCAGCCCCTGCCCTAGCCTCTGGTTGTGAGAGGACAGAAACGGACCCGATGAGCTGTGCTCCAGCCTTCTCCTCCTCCTGAACGTGCCGTGTAAGACCACAGTTCTCCAGCGAAAGTTTCTCTAACAGTTTGAAGTCCACGTCATTGCCGATGCCGATGGTAAAGATGCAGATCTGACCTCTAGTGGCTTCCTTGGTATTGCTGAGAATCTTGTGGGTACTGGTCTCCCCGAAGGTGGGTTTTCCATCCGTGAGGAAGATGATGAGGGACACACTCCGATCTTCAATGTCATTCTGGGCCACATAATTGTTGAGCAGTTTGATGGCTGTCTGAAGGGCCCCATTGATGTCTGTACCTGTAGAAGAGCAACACAGAAGAGCTTATGGCTTTGCATTCACCGTCTACCTCTGAATGCACAGTCACAGCTGCAGCTAGCCTTCAGCCATTCAGGGTCTGGGCAGCAGATGCAGTCAGCTGCATTTTTCTGGTGACTCTCTGGCCTATCGAGAAATCTGACAAGTGTTTGCTAACTATACGCAAGTGACTTGAAATTACACCAATGTAAAAATCTTCTCCTGAGACTGAGAAGGTACACACATGTTTTTATGTGTGTGTGTGTGCGCGTGCCCCCCCCCCACACACACACATACACACGAAGCTGGACATAGTGATGCATTTCCAGCATTCAGGAAGCTGAGGTAGGATGACTACTGAGAGTCTGAGGCCATCCTGGGCTACAGAGTGAGATGTCTCCAAAGAGAAAATAAATAAAAGAAGAAAAGTAGCCAGCCCATGCTCTGGACAGATACATCCGTAAGTCTTGTTAAAGTGCACAGAGACTAGACAGATGGGAAAGGAGCAGTTGAAATGGGATCTAGCATTTCTGTGAGTCATTAATTTGCCTTTTTTTTTATCATGTCCAATTTCATTTTTCCTCTGTGGATGTGGGCATAAATAAGTAGCAAGCGTCTGCATAGTCTTTCACCTGCACGGACAGTGCAGAATCTCTTCCTCTACTCTAAAGCCAAGGAGAGCTGGGGGGGAAATGTAGCTTTCATGGCCTCATGCATGCACCAAAGCCTCTCAGGGCTCAGAATCAAGGCTCTGCTGAGGCCGGGCATCTCCTGTCCAGTCACCAGCATTGGGTCCTCTCCACCATAGAGAGTCCCACACAGCTGGCCAAGCATTCCTCTGAGAGCTCACTGGATGCCCAGGGACCGGATAGGGGACCGCTCAGTTGGATAAAAATAAAGACCACATCTGACACTTAAAGAGAAGAGCCCCCTCATCTGCTAGGGCCCTTCCACACACTTGGGATAGTTGAACTATTTCTCTGTGATAACTTAAGGAGAACAGCCCCCTCATCTGCTAGGACTCTCGCACACACTTGGAGTAGTTTCACTATTTCACTCTGATAGCCAGCTTATTACCACCCTCATTTTATGACAATGAAAGAGGCAAATGGCTAAGAGGTGGAGGGACTGGATTCAATTCCAGGAAATCAAGCTGCCGAAGCTTTGCTCCAGACTTGAAAGAACATTTCCTAGAGAATGCAGACTCCTCTAATGTTCTCCAGCAAAGGGCTGGGCAATGAAGTGTCAAGAGAAGATAAAGGAGAGGTGGCCTAGTGGTTAAGAGTTCTGACTGCTCTTGTGGAGGACCAGAGCAGCTCTCAGCACCTTATCAGGCAGCTCACAACGGTTCCAGGGAACACTGCCCTCCTCTGGCTGACACTGGCATCTGCACACATGTGGTACACAGCAATTTCTACAGTTATATACAAATACATATGAGGGGGGGGGAGGAAGAGAGAAAGGGAGAGGGGGAGGGGAGGGGAAGAGGGAGAGGGAGAGGGAGAGGGAGACGGAGAGAGAGAGAGAGAGAGAGAGAGAGAGAGAGAGAGAGAGAGAGAACAAAGAGGGATTCTTAGGTTTGGGTTTCAAATGAACATAATACATAATAGGTATTTTCTAAAGGTGTTCATTGCCTCTCTGTAATACACACCATTCCAATAGTAAGCAAAATCACTAGCATAAGTTAAATTAGCAGAGAATCACTGAGCATACATCATGTGTTAAGAAGCATGCTAGGACTCAGGGGCCACAAAGAGGAAGGATTCACAGTCTGGTCAATTTCCTGCCATAGGTAAGAACTATGATATTAAATCTAACATTTTATTTCCCCTGCCCAAGGATAAAACACTTCAAATAACTGGACGGAAAATGATGAACATAAGGAAATGGAAATCTTCAGATGGGGGAAGGCTGACCTGAGCGCTTTGCATAGTGTTTCTAGATACTGAAAGAAGGATGAACAGATGTGAGAACAGCATATCTGCCTCTGAGAGAGGGTCAGATGGGAGCTGGTGAGAAGGCTCATCAAGTAAAGGCATTTGTTGTCCTAGCCAGACAACGTGAGTTCAGTTCCTGGAGCCTACATAAAGGCTGAAGGAGAGAATCAGTTCTGCAAAGGCATCTGCCGACTGCTGTGTGACCACCATGGTACATGCATGCTGCCCACCCACCCCCCAATGATAACAAGTTTAAGGTGTTTTTCTTTCAAAGAAAGGGATCACACACAGGACAATGGGCAATGGAGTGCCTGGTTCTGCAGTCTTAGAAAGCTTTGCTGTCTTCATGCCCCTGTCCCGACCTTCTGCACACACACCAGGCACGGCACTCAAGGTATGCATGCAGTGACCTGGAGAGCAGCCCTCTCCTCCTTCCACTCCTCATCCACAGCCCAGCCCAGGGTATCTGAGATTCACGCTCTCACCATGCTGCAGCTCAGGCAAGACCATAGCTTGTTTTATAGGGCAGTTCCATCTGCCACTGCTTGAGTTCATACAAAACACTGGATCGCGCACTTGGCTTCAATTCTCCGTCCTAGGGAGAGATGGCTCAGCAGTCAAGATCACTTCCTGTTCTTTCACCAGAGCCAAGTTCAGTTACAGGACTCACATCACGTGGCTCACAACTACCTGAAATGGCCAGCTCCAGGGGGGATCTGATGCCCTCTTCCCATTTCCATTGGCACTCATACATAGGTGTCATCGATATACAGAAACACACACAAACAAGTAGATAAAAATAAACCTAAAAAAAAAATTCTCCAACCAAGAACGATTTACCAAAACCAGCTTCCTTGTGTAGAATTCAAATTATGGATGGATTTTCCAATTATAACTTGACAAAGGTCTAGGGATTGAGAATTTACAAACTTGAAGAAGTCCAGGCACCTGGGGATATTGTTACCACTGCTTCCTTTGTTAGTATCAGCTTCAACTCTCAAAGCCTTGTTCCTTTACAGAAAATGAACCTATGATCTTGTCCAAGCGGGGGAGAAAGGCTGGAAGAAATCCCTCTTACCTCCAGTGGGTGACAGGTGGTAAATGTAGAGCTTGCTATTCCTGATGTTATCAGGAGTCACCGGCAGCAGGTGGTCCTTCCACACTTTAATCCGGTTGGAAAACCCAATGATATTGAAGTGATCCTGGGGTCGAAGGTCATTGAGAATTGTGACGAGGGCTTCCCTGGTCTAGGCAAAGACAAAACCCAACTCGGTCACATGTCAGCCCATTAGTCCATGTGTTCCCTGACCAGTCTCAGGAATTAAACTTAATGTCTGCTATGTTAAGGACACTTGTCACTGGCTAGAGCATGGTACAAATACATGACAACTGAATAGAAGACATGAATGAGTGTTTTACTCAGTACTAGGTCTCCTGATGCTACAAGGCATGGAATGTCAGACCAACGCATCTGCACAATTAAAAAGAAATTAAAGTTTTTCGAAAACTTTTAAATTAAGGTTTGATTTTGTATATGTGTCTGCGTGTATGGGTATGTATGTGAATGCACACTTGACCTATGTCACAGGAGTAGGAGTCAGAGGATATTTCATGGAAGTTGCACCATAGGAGTCCTGTGGGTTGAACTCAAGTTATCAGGTTTAATAGCAAACATCTTTACCTTCTGATCCATGTCACAGATTGTGACCGCCATTCTCCTGAGCTAGAATGTTCTTCAACATGGTTCTATCCCTACATTTCACCTAAGAAACCACTCATCATTGTTCAGTACCCAGACAGGTGACTGACCTAAATTCTCACTATGAAAGTTGTCCTTGCTGCTCCAAAGAGACCTGCCAGTCCTTCCGCTAAGCTAGTCCTCAATTTAACACACTCCTGTCAGAAAGCACATTTCAGAGTAATGATGGCTTATTTTATGTCTTTTTCCCATAACAGATGTTAAGGTTTCTGCAGGTGGGTTTCACTCATCATCCTATCACCCAGTAACATTCAGAAAGTATAGGTGTAGTGATAAATTAATGACTTAATATATAACAAATTATAAAATTAAAAATAATAATAAATATATTTGTGGTAGTTTACATGAAAATAGTCCCCATTGGTTCATAGGGAGTAGCATATTTGAAAATATTAGGGGGCATGACTTCATTGGAGCAGGTTGTAGCCTTATTGGAGGAAATGTGTCACTGGGGGTGGGCTTTGAGGTTTCAGAAGCTCAAGTCAAGCTCAGTGTCTCTCTCTCTCCCTGCTGCCTATGTATAGGATGTAGAACTCTCAGCTACTCTCCAGCACCATGTCTGCCTGCATACCATCATGCTCAGTTCCATGATGATAATGGTCTAAACCTCTGAACTGTAAGCCAGCCCCAATTAAATGCTTTCTTTTATATGAGCTGCCTTGACCATGATGTCTCATCACAGCAACAGAACTTTTACTAAGACAATATTATTTTTCAAAGATTTTTGTTACATGTATTTATTTGTGTGGGCAGATAAGGTGTGTGTGTGTGCTTGTGTAGTATCATGTGTAAAGATCAAAGTACAATTTTCAAGGGTCAGTTCTCTCTTCCCACCATGTAGGTCCCAGGGATTGAACTCAGGTCATTGGGTTTGGTGGCAAGAGCCTTTTACCATTGAGTCATTTCTTGGGCTGCTATCATGGAATTTTTAAATATTATAAAATCTCTGAAACAGAATGACATGGGGATATTCTATAAAGAAAAGAATTTGAAGCTGGACATGGTGGTGCACTTGTAATCCTAGCATTCGGGCTAGTGTCAGAATTGAAACTAAGGCTAATTTGAGCTACAAGGTAAGATTTTTGTCTCTAAGAACTGAGAGAGGGATAGTGGGAAAGAGAGAAAGGATAAGAGGATGAGGAGAAAAGAGAAAAGAAGAGGAGAGGAGGGGAGGGGAGGGGAGGAATTCAGGATTTAAAGGAACTAGCAGAACTATGTAGCATAGAAAATAGAAAGTAAAAAGAGCTACTTGAAAGTAAAAAAAAAAACTTGAGCATAGCAAAGAAGGGGTACAAGTGGATTTGGGGGATGATAACTGGATAAAGGGGACTATTTAAAACTGATGTCTTGCAGAAAAAGAAACCATAAGAACTTGAAAAGAGAAACAGTCTAAGCCTGGACAAGAGATTTCATAACCATGCAGGGATACTGTGACAAATGGTACCATGCCTTGTAAGTACTGTCATCAGACACTTTGTTTGTTTGCTTTTTCGAGACAGGGTTTCTCCGTGTAGTTTTGGTGCCTGTCCTGAATCTCCCTCTGTAGTCCAGGCTGGCCTTGAACTCACAGAGATCCACCTGGCTCTACCTCCCGAGTGCTGGGATTAAAGGCGTGCACCACTGCCGCTCGGCTTCATCAGATATTTAAAGAGACTCAGTGTCTGAAGTTAAGGACCTGCATTACACCGTCACCATAGCAACGATCCTGGGCACATTATTTACCCTTGGTCCAGCCCTGTGCTGGAAGTTCTGCAGCATACATCACTGCTCCTACACTATCCCATCAGCAAACTCAGGATACAGTGCCTGCCTCATCAGTCACAAAGGTTAAATCAGGACAAGATGAAAGGTGCCTGGAGGGGAGCTGGGAAGATAGTCAATGTTATATTTGGTTTGCTATTATTGGGTTCCCAGAAAGAAGTACAAGGAGAATTCAGAGAACCAGCGGCTTCTAGGGTTGGGGGTGCGTTTACAGAATAATGCATGGTACAGAATGTATGTTTGCTCTAGCATCCCACTGGCTTTCCCCTGGGTTTGGGGGGCCTTGCTCCATATCCTGGATCCAGACAGTACTGAACCTTCTGCCTCTCCATCCATGGGAAACTCCACCACTTTCTAATGGCCCTTCTGCATGTTTCTCTCTTCCCCAGTTCCCTCAGCTTTCTATCCTGTATCCAGTGCTTACTTTAAGATCTCAGCCTAACTCTTGGAATTATTCCAAAGGAAGCTCCAAAACCCATTTTAGTGAACTATGCTGGATGTGTCTGCATTTAAAACTCTCCATTACACCCTCTCCCACATAGCTTAGTAAATGGAGAGCTTCTACCCTGAGTGTGCGTTTGCCCAGCTCCCTGGTGATCCCTGCTGAATTATTGTTCCTTACCTTCCAAACCATTTCTTCATTCTGGGAGACTGGAAAAACAGTAGAGTCTAAAGATATCACTAGAAATATGAAGATGATGATGATGGTGGTGATATTAACTGCTAATATTTATGCCCACTAGATTATTATGCTGAGTGCAAGATGATTGGCTGGCTCAATCCTCACAGTCATCTGTGGTAAAGCTTCAATCAGTGTTCCCACTTTACAAACGATGCTGCTGAGGTGTGGAGGGATTAGGAATCACATCCCACAGGAGACTGGATTAAAGCACAGGAAGTCTCATGCCAGGGCCCACACTGGCATCCAAGACAGTGGGATCTGCAGCTCCAAGACCATTGGAAGCCAAGTATCCCGAGTTAGAGCCTTTCCAGCGTGCAGCTTGTTTTGGGAGCCCTTCCAGCTCGCCTGCCAGGCTCTGTTTCTTTCAGTTCATTTTTTGGCAGTAGCTAATGAATCCGTCCTCTATAACATCCCTGCAGAGAGCACTGCAGGAATTCCATATCCACCCAGGGATGAGAACAATGGGCACAGTTCATTAAGTCCATCTCCTCATCCTTCCCAGGGCTTCCTCCCACAGTCCATCTCCTCATCCTTCCCAGGGTTGCATCCCACAGTCCATCCCTCATCCTTCCCAGGGCTGCATCCCACTCTTCTTCCAGGAAACGAGAAGCAAGGAAGCACTAATTGTCTCTCACAAAGCTAAGACAGCCCCCCTGTTCTGCCTCTTCCCTGTTCTGGCTCCTCCTTGCTCAAAGCCTTTTCTCAGAAGCAGAATCTTGATGTGGAGGGTTTTCCTTCCCCTTCTAAGCCCTGACTCCCATCCCCAGGAAATATGGCTGAGTGCCCTGAGATAAAACACAGAATCTATACTACAAAAGGCCAGCACTTCCTCAGAGATATCTGTGAGATGCTCTACCATGAAGGTGCATCCTGTAAACGTGTTTGCTCTGGCTTCTGGAAGTCCTCTCTTTGTCTTTCCCATGGTCTTCCCCAGCACTTCCTTCTTGCTCCCTTCAATGGAAGTCATAGAATGACGTTTTAAGCCAAATCTCCAACTAGGCTCCCATACCTCACTCTTCCCCCCAGCAAATTTAGCCAAATCCAGGGTGTAACCACCAATTCTCACCTCCCCAATTTCCAGATTCCCCTTTGGAATGTGCTTCTCTCTAAATTTGGGTTGACCTGCCAGTCAGTTCTCCAGGCAGCTCAGACTTAACTTGTTGAAACCTGGAAACTTTCTCTTCTCCTTCAAATCTGGTCCTCTTTGCTCTTCTCTCTCTCTCTCTGGGCAAAGGAACCTTCCAAAGCCCTGATGCCCAACTAACAAAGGTGGTTATTGTGTTCAATTTTCTTCCTGCCCCACCTGCAAGCCCCAATTTCTTCAGCACCCAATCCTGGAATTTCACCTCTTTTTTTCCTGAATATCTGAAGGACTGCAATCAGAGTGTTCTCCCTTTGTTGATGTCTTTCATTTTATTTGTTAACTTACATACTTGTTTGGATACCTTATTTGAGACAATGTCTCATTATGTAGCCCAAGATGGCCTTGAATCTGATATATAGCTCAGACTGGCCTCCAACTCATGGATTCTCCTGCTTCAGCCTCCCCAGTTTCAGGCATGGGCCAGCATGTCTGGTAGTAGTGGCAGTGGGCAGTGGCGGCAGCTCCTCTTCCTCCTCCTCTTCTTCCCCCTCCTCTCCCTCCTCCTCCCTCTTTCTCCTCCCCCTCTTCCTCCTCTCCCTCATATTCTTCTTGAGTCTCACTATTTATCCCCTGGCTAAGTCAGAACTGCAGAGACTTTCCAGTCCCTGCCCCTTTCCTTCCTCTGACTTCTGAGTTCTGGAATTAAAGGTGTATGTCACCATGCCATCTTATTCCTCATTAAAAAAAAAAAAAAAAAAACTAGAAGAAAAACACAAAGCTCACATGATCCCACTCATCTAGGAGTAACCACTGGCAGAACACTGGTGTGCTACCTGGTCCTTCGAGAACTTTCCTGTCTCTCTGTGTGTGAAGGAGGGAGGCTGGTTACAACAAAAAAAGAAGAGAAAAACAAATGGACTTAGGAACAGAGGAAAAAGACAGACAGACAGACACAATTTTG